ATCCCCACCATCAAGATCTGAGCTACAACTAAACAAAGGTTGCGCATTAGGTGAGATTGTCGTAATATATATATATATAATGTGTCGATATTTACATTCACATCAGCTTTAACCCTGATAGTGAGCACTTTTAGCGATCAATATAACATACCTTAAAACAACTGTATTTTTATCATATATATATATATATATATATATATATATATATATATATATATATATATATTTATATTGTCATCCACAGGCAGACTATGTCTCTGTATCACAGCTCATCAGTGTGGTTAGACGTCTGGTTGCCTCTAGCTCGGATCGAATCCCGGCTGTATTGGCGTCAGTCGGTGATTTTACCTCTAAGCCGTTGGCGCACGGCAGGGATGAAGGTGAATGTTAAGCGTATTTATTTTTAGATAAACCCACAGTGACCGAGAGGACTCGATTCGCTTTACCGAAGAGTCTTGCATCATCAGCCATAATAGTCACTGTTTACAAATTCACATTCCCCCCCCCAGAGAGCTCAACCGAAATAGATTATTCAGGAACATCCATATCGTTATCCACAGCAAAGTAAAGAAAATATCCCAAGTAGTACTGATACATATATTTTCTGCTGTCTTAATAGTAAGGCTGATCTGTTTGGTAAGTTTGAAATTGGAAGCTATGACCGAAGATCTGGTGTTAACTGGGGCAATGAAAATTTAAGGAATCAGTACATATGCTAGGCCAAAAAAATCTCCTGAGCCGACCAAGCATAGAAATGAATACAATATGGGAATCAATAATAAGGAGTGCCTGAGAAAAGAGACAACTAAAATTGCAATATGAGCTCTGGTAAAAACATGATGTGATAACAGCAAAAATTGCAATATGACAGGTAAAAAGGGTAGCTGAAGACATTAGGTTTATAATACCCAGAAGTTCATACATAGATGTCCTCAAGGACACATGGCATAGTGGATAAAGGCGTTGGTTAGATCCAGTGACAGACCCAAAAGAAGGTGAGTTCAATTCCTGGTTAAGGCAGTGGAGAACTTTCAGAGGGAAAATTAGCAGGAGATAACTGATAACTGACATCCATCAAACATGGCACGTGGAATTAGAACAGTCTACCCCAGTGATCGAAATAAAGGGTTCAGTTCGAAATTCCAACCACCTGAAGAAGGCCGGAGCGTACAACGGCCGAAACGTTGTGACAAATATGGCGACAAAGATGAGGACAATAGTCCGACTAATGTAAATACTGTACATAATACCTCATCTCAGAAATATAGACAAACTCTGACGGAACAAGGAATTATAACAGTCTACTCCAGATACCTCTTCTTTTATTGTCCTTTCCCCTCTCTTTCACTCTTCTTACTTTCCAGTCAACTTTGATCTTCAAAAATTTCAATGCAATATCAATCGTTATCTTCTGTCTTCTTAATTCCTCTTCTTTTATTGTCCTTTCCCCTCACTAAAGTCTTCTAATTCTCTTTCACTCTTCTTACTTTCCAGTCAACTTTGATCTTCAAAAATTTCAATGCAATGTCAATCGTTATCTTCTGTCTTCCTAATTTCTTTTCTTTTATTGTCCTTCCGCTGGAACATATATGGCTACCACCTCTATCCAGCACTGGATAGAGGTAGTAACCTTACATGTTCCAGCAGGTTTCTTTTCCTTCCCATATAGTCCACAGGACCTGCTGGTCAAGCCCTGGATCGAGGCTGAGGCCTTACATATTCCATCGAGTCCCTTCAGGTTCCGACATGGCCAACGGGATTCAGTGGCCAATCTCTTAATCGTGATCTTAGCCTTACGTCTTCCAGCAACATTCTTTCGTTAAGCCCTGTTTTGAGATGACAGTATTCCGGCAAGTGACTTTTCCCTTCATATGACCCACAGGACTCAGTGGGAAAATTCCGGGTTGAGCTTTCCATTTCCAAGTGGGTCTCTTTTTCCTTCCACATGGCTCACAGGACCCAGTGGTCAAGTCCTGGATCGATTTGGTAGCCTTACGCGTTCAAGAGCTACTGTTCACCCTCTATGACCCAAGGCTTTCAGGAGTGATTGTCCAATAATGTTAGCATTCATATCGCTTCAAACATATGGCTCTAATCTCTGCTGATTTAAAATTCTTCAGACAACTCTGTCTGTCTGGGGCATGGCAGAGGAGACTAATCAGTGACCCCCACAATACCAAGGACTGTTTGAAGGCCACTGTCATGAACGTGATTAGCAGCATGAACGACCACCACATGGTTCGGACATGCAATCACATCACAGGTTTCGTCGATGACTTTTCTGAAGCTGGGGGCCTTTTCAATGAATAAAATTTTCTGCTTTTTTTTAGGTTAAACATGTGTACTTTTTGCTATTGAATATCTTTGTTTTTGTTTATATATATATATATATATTATATATATATGCATACATATATATGTGTGTGTGTGTGTGTGCGTTTAAAACAAAGATAACCTTCGTGAGTTAATCTCACTCTAGTAATCTCTTTTCGAGTGTGTGCCCCTACCCGACAGACAAATCTGCGCGTATGCATATTATGTGTGTCCAAGATATTTATCAACCACACTCTCGGTGAACGATTTCTCACTGACCATAACGATAAAGATCGACTCCACCTTTACTGAGCTTAGCTCGGAGGAAATCTCGTCACAGCGTGAATTTCTCGTAAAAGCGTGATTTGGGACACGTGCGAAATCCGCACGCTGTGCTTCAGGCATGAGAAGGGTCAACAAGATTGAAAGTATGCAGAAAGAGTAGATTTCAAAAGCGGGGAGAGGGGGAAGAGATAAGAAAGAAAGAAAGAAAGAAAGAAAGAAGATCTTGAAAGAAGATGTAGGGTGGAAAGAAAGAAAGGGAAAGAAAGAAAGAAAAAAAAGAAAGAAAGAAAGAAAGAAAGAAAGAAAGAAATTAAAGAAAAGAAAGAAAGAAAAATGAAAGAAAGAAAAGAAGATTGTCAGAAAGAGTAGATGTCGGGGGTGGAAAGAAAGAAAAAAGAAAGAAAGAAAGAAAGAAAGAAAAAAGAAAGAAAAAAGAAAAAGATTAAAACTAAGAAAGAGTAGATGTGGGGGTGGAAAGAAAGAAAGAAAGAAAGAAAGAAAGAAAGAAAGAAAGAAAGAAAGAAAGAAAGAAAGAAGATTAAAATTAGTCAGAAAAGAGTAGATGTCGGGGTGAAAGAAAGAAAGAAAGAAAGAAAGAAAGAAAGAAAGAAAGAAAGAAAAAAAAAGATTAAAAAGTCAGAAAGAAATGTCAGGGGTGGAAAGAAAGAAAGAAAGAAAGAAAGAAAAGAAAGAAAAAGAAAGAAAAAAAAGATTAAAACTAGTCAGAAAGAGTAGATGTCGGGGGTTGAAAGAAAGAAAGAAAGAAAAAAGAAAGAAAAAAAAAGAAAGAAAGAAGATTAAAAAGTCAGAAAGAGTAGATGTCAGGGTGGAAAGAAAGAAAGAAGAAAGAAAAAGAAAGAAAGAAAGAAAGAAAAGAAAGAAAGAAGATTAAAACTAAAGAAAGAGATGTCGGGGGGTTGAAAGAAAGAAAGAAAGAAAGAAAGAAAGAAAGAAAGAAAGAAAAAAGAAGATTAAAACTAGGTGGAATATGTAGATGTCAGAGTGTAGAAAAAAGAAAAAGAAAGAAAAAAGAAAGAAAGAAAGAAAGAAAGAAAGAAAAAGAAAGAAAGAAGATTAAAACTAGTCAGAAAGAGTAGATGTCGGCTACTGGAAAGAAAGAAAGAAAGAAAGAAAGAAAAGAAAGAAAGAAAGAAAGAAAGAAAAAGATTTTAAAACTAAGAAAGAGTAGATGTCGGGGGTTGAAAGAAAGAAAAGAAAGAAAGAAAGAAAGAAAGAAAGAAAGAAAGAAAGAAAGAAAGAAGATTAAAACTAGGTAGAATATGTAAATGTCAGAGTAGAAAGAAAGAAAAGAAAGAAAGAAAGAAAGAAAAAAAGAAAGAAAAGAAAAAAAAGATTAAAAACTAGTCAGAAAAAGTAGATGTCGGGGGGGAAAGAAAGAAAGAAAGAAAGAAAGAAAGAAAGAAAAGAAAGAAAAAAAAGAAAGAAAGAAGATTAAAACTAGTCAGAAAGAGTAGATGTCGGGGGTTGAAAGAAAGAAAGAAAGAAAGAAAGAAAGAAAGAAAGAAAGAAAGAAGATTAAAACTAGGTGGAATATGTAGATGTCGGGGTTGAAAGAAAGAAAGAAAGAAAGAAAAGAAAGAAAGAAAAAGATTAAATAAATGTCAAAGAAAGAAAAGAAAGAAAGAAAGAAAGAAAAAAAGAAAAAGAAAAGAAAGATTAAAACTAGTCAGAAAGAGTAGATGTCGGGGTGGAAAGAAAGAAAAAAGAAAGAAAGAAAGAAAGAAAGAAAGAAAAGAAAAGAAAGAAAGAAATTAAAGAAAGAAGATGGAAAGAAAAAAAGAAAGAAAGAAAGAAAGAAAGAAAGAAAGAAAGAAAGGAAAGAAAGTTGAAAGAAAGAAAGAAAGAAAGAAAGAAAGAAAAAAGAAAAGAAAGAAAGAAAGAAAGAAAAGAAAGAAAGAAGATTAAAACTAGGTAGAATATGTAGATGTCAGAGTGTAGAAAGAAAGAAAGAAAGAAAGAAAGAAAGAAAGAAAGAAAGAAAGAAAGAAAGAAGATTAAAACTAGTCAGAAAGAGTAGATGTCGGGGGTGGAAAGAAAGAAAGAAAGAAAGAAAGAAAGAAAGAAAGAAAGAAAGAAAGAAAGAAAGAAGATTAAAACTAGTCAGAAAGAGTAGATGTCGGGGGTGGAAAGAAAGAAAGAAAGAAAGAAAGAAAGAAAGAAAGAAAGAAAGAAAGAAAGAAAAGAATAGCAAGAAAGAGGAAATAAGAGAAAAAGAAAAGAAATATAAAACAGGAGTAAAAGAGAAGAAGAAAAAAATAGAAAAAGATGGAAGAAGAAGGAAAAAGGAAAAAGACGAGAAAAAATGAGGGGGGAATTTGAAAAAAATAGAAGAGGAAATAAAATAACTAATGAATAAATGTATGAAAATGAAAGACTGATCAGTCAAAAGGAAATGAAAAAGAAAAGGAAATTTCTTTCTCTCTCTCAATCTCTCTTTTTCTCGATATATATATATATATATATATATATATATATAAAAATATATATATATATATATATATATATATATATATCAGGATATTAAAACAAAAACATGCAAGAATCACTTCACAATTGCAATCGTGTTTCAATGCATAACAATGCGTCTCCTCAGGCGATTGTAAATTACTGGCGGGTGAACGATTAATTTGGTTTCAAAAGCAAAACCAAATTAATCAGTTCGGGCCACGGAAGGCCTTCAGGAACGGATTAATCCAATTTACATTCATTCCTAGAAGGAAAATAGTTTCGCTTTACGCACATTTCGTGTCATGAACGTCCTTCAGGAACGGATTAATCCAATTTACATTGATTCCCATAAGGAAAATAGTTTCGGTTTTCGAATATTCCGGGTCACGTACGGCCTTCAGAAATGAATTAAATCGAAGTTTCATATATATATATATATATATATATATATATATATATATATATATATATATATATATATATATATATATATATATATATATATATAGGATTTTTATAATAAACAGTATTAACAACATTTACCGAGCATTTACTTATATATTTGTATCTATAAAAAGAACGTATGAACATAAAAAATGTCTTAAAAAAATAATTGTCGGACTTTGTCCATTTCATAATGTGTGACGTCATTTGTTTACATTTGGACAAGCATTGAGCAGTTATAAATGAATGAGAGGAAATCACGGAGAATTGTGTTTAAAAACAGTAAAATCAAACTTGCTAACATAACTCTCCTCCGTGGCCCAATCGTTTAAGGCACGTCAGGCTATATGACGGTTCCGTATAGGATACATGTTCGATTCCTGTCGGAGGACGCATATTTTCTATGAAAATTTCTAGGACATTCAGGCCGGTTAATGTTGTTTAATACTGTTTATTATAAACAGAGCATTTACTTAAACATTTGTATCTATAAAAAGAACGTATAAACATAAAAAATGTCTTTATATATATATATATATATATATATGGGTGAGACAGTTTACATCCATTTTTCACTACTATGATCTTACCCATTGGCATACAAACTGTCCAAAATGTTACTCCACCTCATCTTTGCCGTCTAAATTGTGTTGACTGCTTATTTTCATGACGGGCACATCATTTAAAAAATACTGTTTATAATTCAGTCTTTACCAATCGTGGACCTTCACCCGTGAAAAAAAGAATCGGACGAGTGATTAATGTAAACCAAGAGTCGGCAACCTACGGCCCGCGGGCCGGATCCGGCTCGCAAAGGCATTGTAACCGGCCCGCGAGCCTGATTACCAATGACTCTATTTTTAACAGGAGAGACGAGGCTTTCGAATTAGACTATCTGCCAGTTATCTTTCATGAGACTTATTTTACCTAGTTGCGTTGCCTGCGTTTAATGTCAAATAATGGATACATATTTGTTATGACCCTTGGCTACATTAAAAGATAACAGAAGCGAAAGGAACGATAAAGTGAAAGAGGCCAGGGAGGGACTGACATGCGAGGTAGCAGAAATCTAAAGACAGTTAAACATACGCGCATTATACATACATGCCTCATGAATGTGTGGATGATACCGCATATGTACGTACGTAAGTGTATATGTTTGCAACTATTTGTACTCGTATGTATGGGTATATGTGCTTCGTTTTTGTTTGATGTGTGTGTGTGTGTGCTTCGTTTGTGGAACAATTTTCAATAACAGTTTCAAACCTACACGTCATAATTTCATCCATTTCACTTCGGTTGATTTTTATTCACTTTGAAGTATTTTGACGTTCCATGAGGAAAAGTAATTTTTGTTAGGTGTTTTTTAATTTTAGATTTTCTTTTGTTTTTCTGATTTCTCAATGTTTATTTTCATAATGGTTTTAAATATTTAGGTTGACATGGGTCTGCATATGTAATTTTCCTTAATTTTTCATTAATTGCCTTCGTCCGGCCCGCGACCCGTCATTATAACACGATCCGGCCCATAGGGTCGAATGAGTTGCCGATCCCTGATGTAAACAATACGTGGCGCCAGTATGTGAAGGATGCATGGTAAATGTGTTGTTGAATGAGAATTACTTTTCTTTTTCTTAGAAAATTTCTTTCCAATATTAGGGTGCGTCTTCCATGCCGCAGCGTCTTGTAAGCCGGAAATTACGGTATCATTTGCACCCTGTAATGTAGTGTAATGTCGATCGACATCTGACACCCTGCGCTTGTTCCCCGTCCTTCTTGCTCTCCTTTCTTCAAACACGCGTCTTTTATCTTGTTCTCAATCCTCTGTAACCCTTTGCCTGCTAGTGGCACTCCCGCCTTGCTTGGGGTGAATTGCCTTAAAAAAAAAAAAGATTTAGCCTTTTATATCATGTAACATCAGTATTTAATTGTTATTTCCAAGACAATAAACCTTCCTAGAGCCGAGCCACAAGCTAAACATGCTCTGTTTACTGGCAGCGGCGGGAGTCTTTCTGTTCTTGCCTAGTATGTCATTACCATACAAATTAAATCGGACGGGTGATTAATGTAAACTATATGTGGCACCAGAATGTGAGATGCAAATATCTGTGTTTTGTTTGTATAGCAATGACATACTACTCAAGAGCAGAAAGTAAGAGCATGTTTAAGATTGTGGCTCGGCTCCAGGAAGGTTTATAATCAACAGTGATTTTTTTAGCCGTCATTCATTAAGGGGTTTCTGGTCTTTCAACATCATGTCCCCGACTTTTGTGCAATCCGTTAGCTATTATTAAAATTACCATATTTTCCGGCTTACAAGACGCACTTTTTTCCTAAAAAAATACGAGTACGTCTTGCAAGACGAATGTAAGGCAACTCCAAAGCTCAAGTAAGCTTGAACGGTCACTTAATTGGCTAGATTATTAGAAATGTGGATTTGTATGTTGAGTCATTAAACTATAATGTTAGCTAATTCAGCCTTTTATATGATGTAACCTCAGTATTTAGCTGTTACAAATATTTCCAAGACTATAAACCTTCCTGGAGCCGAGCCACAAGCTAAAGATGCTCTGTTTACTAGTAGCGGCGAGAGCCTTTCTGTTCTTGACAAGTCATTGCCATACAAACAAAATCGGACGAGTGATTAATGGAAACAATACGTGGCGCCAGAATGTGTGGGACGCATGGCGAATGTGTTGTATGAGAATGACTTTTTCTTTTCTTTAGAAATTTCTTTCTAATATCCAGTGTTAGGGTGCGTCCTGTAAGCCGGAAAATATGATAATACATATTTTTCAATAAAATTGGTTTAAAAATAAATAAATAAATAAAAGCAAAAAAATATTTAATTTCAAAATAATTTCCAAATTTTTACACTTGAAAAATTCCACTATCCAAACTAGCAAAATTTTCCCATTTTACCTTCGAGAATTCTTTTACAGAGTTCGCAGATGAAATGAAGTGCTCATCGTTTTGTCGTGATCTCCGATAGGCAAGCAGAAATATGCCTTGACGACCTCCCACATTTTAGTAGATCTTGCCAGAGTGCTTTTTCGCTCTTGTCTTGATATATTCGCCACAGGCATATCAAATTGCGTCTACCGGATGCCTTCAAACCTCTTGATGCCATCTGCGCCGAATGCATCTAGGATCGACGACTTGTCTGCACTTGAACACCCAGAAATAAACTGAACTGTTACGTTTACGTTCCCTGTATTTATACTGCTTGAACGTTCTAGAATTTCTTGAAACTTTTAGAAACTTCTTGATTGTTCTAGAAAGTTCTAGAAAAGTTTCTTTCAGCAACTCATCGCTGAATCTGTCTGGAATGTAATGGAAAAATAAGTTAATTTTAAAAGATCGATGTCCTAGACATAAATGCAAAGTTTGAAGGAAAAAATAGTCGTTTCTTTTGCTTTTCAGACAGAAGCAATTAGGAAATAATACTTATTAATCGAAGACAAAAAAAACAATAAAAATTTTGTTACACAAATCTCCACAGCTTCCACTGTTTATTCAAGATCCATCAATATACTTCTTTGCATGTTAAAATAAATATTATTAAAGTTTTAATTTATATATAATTTTAATTCTCTTTTGTTTGACTTTTCAGTTAGGTGTTAAAAGTGTTTATTATTGTCTATATCTCTATGAAGAGGTCTTATTTACATTATTCGGACTGTTATCCTCATCTTCATTGCTATATTCACAACGTTTCGGCCGTTGTACGCTCCGGCCTTTTTCGTTTGATTATTCTATTCAGCAACCTTCCCTAGGTTAGAACAGCCTGGCAATGTTGTTCGAGAACCCGTTTTTTTTTTTTAACCGAGGCATTTTTAGCTCAAATATTCTGCTCGAAAACTGATTTGTTCGACATGTGAGACGTTCAAGAACTGAGGTTGATATATATATATATATATATATATATATATATATATATATATATATATATATATATATATATATATAATAGGGTGTTAAACAGCAGCTGAAAAAGTTAATAAGTGTCCAGCACCTGTTATTGCGGCATTCACCCGGTCAGTTGAGCCAACGAAAGCTGACCAATCGTAGCAGAGGTCTTATTCGCCGTAGGAGTTTCAGAGGACAGCGAGATGTAAACTGAACTGTTGAGTGCCATAAACCAGACACAAGAGGATTATAGATACAGGAAGTGTCTTGCAGAAAACAGAAATTGAGTGTCATTTAAATGTGTCGTGTTGTCATATAGGAAGAAAATGAGTAACTACCGACACCGAGGTTCGAGCGTGACACACTGGAATTATGAATATATGTTTTCCGCTAGGTGTATAAATAGCGGTGTCAGGCTACTGACTGCAGTGATTATTGAGTGGAACTATACAGTCGAATTAGTGTGAATTATATATACCCTTTAATTAAATATTGTCATATAGGAAGAAAATGACTAACTACCAACGTCGAGGTTCGGACGTGACACTCTGAACTTACGTATATATGTTTTACGCTAGGTGTGTAAATAGCGATGTCAGGCTACTGACTGTAGTGATTATTGAGTGACTATTGAGTGGAACTATCCAGTCGAATTAGAGTGAATTATTTATACCCTTTTATTAAATATTGTCATATAGGAAGAAAATCAGTAACTACCGACACCAAAGTTCGAACGTGAATCTCTGGACTTACGTATATATGTTTTCCGCTAGGTGTATAATTAGCGATGTCAGGCTACTGACTGAAGTGATTATTAAGTGACTATTGAGTGGAACTATCCAGTCGAATTAGTGTGAATTATTGTGAGTCGATGATTTGGGTATTGATTTAGGATTTACCGGATGTTAAGCCGAGCCGCGCTACTATCAAGGTATTCACTGAAATGGTTAATTATCTTTGGTTGACTTTTATTTCTTTGTTCTTGTCAAGTATTTATTTGCGGTTGTAATTAAATACTGTTTTATTTTAACATTGAAGGCTTCAGTTATACTTAATTATTAACGGCTACCGTGCGTCACAAAACGCGTGTAACGTATTGAGCCCTAGTTGAAGACTTCTGATCTGTTGAAATGAAACTTTATTTGTTTACCGGGAACGAACTGGTTATGGCACCTGTTATTACGGCATTCAATCGGTCAGTTGAGCCAGAATCGTCAAACGAGCCCGCCTCATCCGAAAAAAAGCGTTGAAGGTCTCATCTTCATTCGCATCTGGATATCCATAATAGAAGCTTCAGTGAGAATTTGGATTCACAAACATAACCCCTACCCACCCAGTCGCATATATACACTTTTAAGGTAGTGCGATCAGTTTTGAATTCAAAGTTTTCTTCTCCTAGACTGGTTGGCAACCAAGGTTATAATGCTATTTATTTTGCACGCTGGAGAACAGGTGGAGTCTTGCCTTCCTCAAAGTTATTAGCACGTAAGTGAATGTAAGAAACTCGACTAGAATTCGAACTCGGCTCTCCGATTCTTCAATCCGAGCCGCTAACCATTACTCTACAATGTCTCCGCCATAACTCGAGATATATTGCGATTTCCTTATCTACAGGGGCTGGAACTATACCAGGCGTTACTCGATAATACATTCTCATTTTCCGTCTAGACAGCTGATGGAAACACCGGATGTTCCCTTAAAAATGACATAATTTAAAATGTGAATATCTGATTATCTCCATGTCCCAGACAAAAGAAATTAAATAGGCTTCCTGTTGAACAATAAAAGATTTATTTATCAAAATTCGATCAGGATACTCAAATGGGAGTCGATTTTATAACCGATTTCAAAAAGTTTCATAAATGCTCAATATACGCAACACCTGTGACACGACACACGTCAAGTCGGTAGGCCATCTCCTGCCAAACACGTTGTAGCATGTCTTGCGTAACATTCTCCAGCGCCTCTGTGATTCTCTGCTTAAGTTCCTCTAGGCTTGTAGGAAAACGGGGGATATAGACCTATTCTTTCACATTAGAGAAGGAGGTTGAAAAAGAATTCGAAGGGGAGGAAAAGAAAGAAGAACTGAAAAAAGAAAACGATAGTAAAAGAAGAAAAAAGCAATAGAAAGAAAAAATAAATGAAGGATGTAGAGAAAATGAAGGCGAAAAGGAAGAAAGAATTGAAGAAGAAAAAAAGGAAATGATAGGGATAAAGGAAGAAGAGGGTAAAGAAAAGGAAAAAGAAGGAAAGTTAAAAAAAAGGGGGAGAAAAATAGACGAAGAAAAAATCGAAGAAAAGGAAGAGGAAATGAAAGATTAATATAAAGAAAAGGCGTAAAACACGAAATGGAGGAAAGAGAAAGAAAGAGAAGCTATGAAGTAAAAAATAAAGAAAAATGATGGAGTTGAAGGAAAAAAAGAAGGAATAAAAGAAGAGAAAATACAGATGAAAGGAAAAGAAAAACGGAAAGAAATAGCGGGCGGGAAAAGAAAAAGAGAAAAAATATATAGATTTGGGAAAATGAAAAAGATGGAGAAAGAAGAGGACAATTGAGAAATGGAAGGAAGAAATACATAAAAAACGATGGAGGAGGAGGAGGAAGAAGAAGAAGAAGAAGAAGAAGAAGAAGAAGAAGAAGAAGAAGAATGAAAACGGGCAAAAAAGGATATTCTGGATTGAGAAGAAGAAACAGGAAGAACGAGTAAAAAAAAATAGAAAATTGAGAAGGAGTAAGAAGACGGAGGAAAAAAAAAAGAAGATTATGGATAGAGAAGAGGGAGGAAGGGGGAAGAGAAGAAGAAAAAATGGAAAAGAAGAATGAAGAAACAGAAGAAAATTGAGAAACGGTAGAAAGAAAGAAAGAAAGAAAGAAAAAAAGAAAGAAAGAAAGAAAGAGGAAGGTAGAAAGAAACTGTAAAATAAAAAGAATGAAAGAAGATTGGAAGAAGAAGAAGAAGAAGAAGAAGAAGAAGAAGAAGAAGAAGAAGAAGAAGAAGAAAACTTATAGAATAAGAAGAGGGAGGAAAAAGAGGAAAAAAGAAGAAAATTGAGAAGAGGGAGGAAGAATGAGAAAAAAATACAGGAGGGAGAAGAGGAAAGAAAAAGGGTGAAAAAAGAAGAAAATTGAGAAGAAGAAGAAGAAGAAGAAGAAGGATAAAAAAGAAAATAATTATGATTGGAGAAGAGGAAGGAAAAGGCGAAAAAAGAAGAAAATTGAGAAGAAGAAGAAGAAGAAGAAGAAGAAGAAGAAGAAGAAGAAGAAGAAGAAGAAAAAGAAGAAATACAGGATTGCGAAGAGGAAGGAAAAAATTTTAAAAAAAGAAGAAAATTGAGAAGAGAAAGGAACAAGGAGAAAAAGAAAATAATTATCGTTTGAGAAGAGGAAGGAAAAAAGGTGAAAAGAAAGAAAATTAAGACGAGGAAAGAAAAAGGAGAAAAATAAAAAAATTGCAGGATTGAGAAGAGGAAGGAAAAAGTTTAAAAAAAAAAAAGGAATGAAGGAAGAAAGTGAAAAAGAAAAAGAGTGGGGTCTGAGTGGTTTTTAGAATTAAAAACAAAAAAAAATCGGGAAACAAAAAGAAAAATATTAAAGAAGAAACAATAATAGACAAAAAGGAAAAGAAAATTTTTTAAAAAATAAGCGCGAAAATGAATGAATACAATATTAAAAAAATAAAGAAGTTTTTTTTTCTTCTTTTAAAACGAAGAGACCTCGAGCCTTCGACCTGTTCCAATTTCTTCTGTCTGTGTGTGGCAAACAGCGAAGGGGTTGCACTGATAATCTTTGCCACTAAATCTCATTTAAGTTCTTATCTTTAGCTAAGCTGGATGCATTCGTCCTGCGTTTGCCCTGAAAACCCGATGTCCTCCATTTTTATTTATTTATTTTCGTCGGGTGAGTGGGCGGGAGTTATTTTCATTGATGAATATTCATTTTATTTATGTATTTGTACAGATTCTTTTTTTTATATATATTCTGAGCACTTATCTTGGGTCAGCGAATTTTGGGAATCATTCAGAAGCGTCCAAATACCATTCAAGCTTTACGATAACATTCGTAAACCGAACAAATTTCATTGTCCCAATTATATATATATATATATATATATATATATATATATATATATATATATATATATATGTTTCATCAAAAACGACAGAGAATGTACTACGATTAAGCTTTTTATTTAATTTTTCTTGTGTTAGAAGTATTTTCTTTTTTGATAATAAGGGGCGGTAAAGTATTCTTTTTCACTGACAACTATTGTATCAACATATTAGTTTCTTTCGAAAAGAAGTTAAAATGATTGAAACCTAATATTATGAATGTATGTGCTTATAAAACTCAGTAAATTTCAAAATAAGTTACTCCAAAATTCTCATGGAAATTACGGACTTTAATTTAATTTAATTCTATAATTGAATTTGAAGTTTTTAGCTTCAGTTTTTGAAACATGGTCATTCCTGTGTAGCGATGAAACCATGTTTTAAATAAGTAAATTTATAATATTTATGCTCTGTAGACTTGCATTGAGCACTGTTTTGTAAAAATAAAAATATTAATAAGAACACAGGATTATATATCTTACTGTTCTTTCTCTTTATTATAATATATACATACTTTCGCGTGGCCATGTGTGACGTCACGGGCTGCTCTACGATTTTCGCTTCCAGCGTCTCGTATGCACGATTTTGTCGTTTCTTGGAAATCTTCTATGCAAACAAAAACAGACTAACATTATTGTTTAATATATTGTAATGTAATTGAGATCTTTGATAATGGCTTATGTAAGCCGAAAGCTTAGATAGGATTAAAAAAAATATGTATCAATATTGTGATTTTCTTTCTTCTTTTAATGATAATGTTATAAAGTTTATAAGTATATGAAAAGAATTTACATAAAATAAACAAAACTTGTCTATATTATTTAATGAAACATGCATCATTATATATATATATATATATATATATATATAATATTTATTCAAAATTATAATATATGCACATGTTATAGAATCACTACAAAAATTGCAATTTTGTTTCAACACTTCTGGTGTCTTACCAAGTGATGGTGTTGATTACAAAATAAAGTGTTTTAAGAGTACACAACCCAACCAAACCACACAGCAGAGGAAACATTGTTACGTAACCTATGATGACCAATCAGAATTCAAGTATATGCTAATTCAAAATGACGTCACAATATACCATAAGTACAATTTATTAGTGCATTAAAGTTAAGATTAGATTAAATTAGAAATCCATATAACAAATAAAGTTTTAATTTCGCAGTTAAATTTAAAATTTTAAAATTACAAACATCAAATTCTAAATTTAACCGAGCATCAAGTTTAAAATTATTACAAAAAACTATTCAGAAATGAAACTAGGAGAAAATATATTTTATTGATCTTAGCGAAGCTATATATATACTAGCAGCATGGCCCGGCGTTGCCCGTGCTTGATTCAAAAATCGTACGACTCATACAGCAATCGCTATCACTTGACTTAAAATATTTTTCCCCTTCCTTGCCTTTAAAGGAGTGCCCTTTGCCGTGCTGATGTTGCTACATGCCTTACACTGCGAATTTTTTCTAAGCTCTATACTAAACATTAAATCTGTTACGAAAAAAAGAACTAAACAAAATGAACACAAAACGGTCAGCTTTAAAAAAGGACTCGTAACTGGAAAAACCGAATGAAAAAAGTATGTTAACAACAAATATGTTTTCACACCCAACCCAGTTCTGCGGAATCAGAATCAACGTCGAGTTTAAGCAAGTGAATGAGCCAATTGGAGTAAAGTGCCATGCAGATTTAAATTTTTCTCACTTGTGACGAATGCAGCTATCGATTTTATTTTATTTTATTTTTTTTTTTGCATTCTAGCATGCCAGTTAACATTCGTGTCAGTCAGCTGTTGGCTCTCACGCTGGCCAATAGAATCTTCCTGCCTATTCGTGGCAGCCAGCTAAAGGCTCTCACTTTGGTCAGTACAAAATGGCCGCAAACTACATGAAAACTGCCGTAGAAGCATGAAAAAATCGATTATTTCCACTATCGATGGGAGTTGGGAAATACAAAGTCGGTCTTGGCCTTCCCGCTAACTTGGAGCATGTGCCTGTAGATTTTGGTGCAAATCCTTCTGGTGTCTTATCAAGTGATGGTGTTGATTCAACACAATCACTTGATAAGGAATGTTGAAAGAAAATGGCTATTTTTGTATTGATTTTATAACATATTTATGTTATAATTTTCGAATAAATTATATATATATATATATATATATATATATGGTAATGTTATATAGGAATAAAGTGTCGCTGCCGACACTTGGGTGTGAACATAGATCGCCAGTGAACAAACACAGGCATCCCATGCTAAATTAACTAGACCACGTGACCATAGAGTAAATGCATATTGATCGTTATTTCTATTCTATCCTCTATTACTAACGGATCGCTATTCTCTACTCTTGTCACTATACCATTTCTGTGTACAGATTAATATTCGAGTGAGTATTATCAAGCAAGTACTATTTGTGCGAGCGATATTCGAAGGCGTCTGAAACCAGTATTGTTCAACGGCGTTACTATAGTCGTATCTGCGATTACAAAGACTCTACTACAACAAGCATTATGAAAGTGACAATGAATATTCGTTGACATCACAAAAGGTAACAGTAATATACAATATTAAAACCGATCTACAAAAAGAGATCGGTCAATCGAAAGGCACATGTTAGGGGTCAAGGGAGAGTGGAAGGTTTTTGTCTTAAAGGGAAGAAGTTTTATAAAATTAAACCCGAATATTAACCGCATGACATTAATTTGGGGTTATATGAACATTGAAATATTAATTTAAAATTAAAAGAAGAATAAAAAGGGGTTTCAAAATAACTTTAAAAAATAGATAAAAGGTTGTAAGGGATTCATGGAGATCTTAGAGTAGAGGAAGTTTATAAATTTTAAATAATACAGCATAAAGGGTTTATAGAGAGAGAAATATAGAAATTAGAATTAGTTATACTTTCGACATTTGAAGAGTTAGAGGTAAGTGAATATTATGGAAATATAGTAGGTAATTAGGTTAAACATATAGTATGGAAACTTGAATTTGTTTTTATGTCGACATTTTAACACTAATTCAGTCCTCTGATTCAATAGTTGCCTATGATTATTGTATTTTGTTATTCTCTTTCTGTGTCTCTCTCTCTCTTTCTTTCTCTCTCTCTCTCTCTCTATATATATATATATATATATATATATATATATGTGTGTGTGTGTGTGTTCAAACAAGTTTGGTTAAATAATTTAGACGTATCATGTAGATTTATTTTGGTTGTGATCCTTTCAAATTCATGGATTAATTTCTTGGTAAACTTAGAAAATTGATTAAGAAAAATACAAAAATTTTCTTTCGAATAATTTTTATTTTCCTAAGTACTTTCAATCCCATCTGAGACCATCTTCAGGGGGTTAAATTGTCTACAAATGTGTATATGTATTTCTGTAAATCCAAAACATTTCAACTGTTCATTTTACTGCGTTATGCGTTGTCTTCCTTTTTATTTTATTTTTTAATAAACTTTTTAGAACTAGGGAGATTATCCGGGGGGGGACGAAATGGCCATCAAAATGGGGTACAATTAAGACTCATTTTTATGTAATTTAATTATATTCTCTATAATAAATATATTTAGTTCTCGTTTGCGGATCAGTTTTAATATTTTATATTATTAGGATCTACTTGGATTACTTACCCACAGATTTTTACATATATATATATATGTGTGTGTGTGTGTTTGTGTGTGTGTGTGTGTGTGTGTGTTGGTTCCAGTTTGCTAGGAACATCTGCTAAGAACATTAGCTTCTCCAAATTTATAGACAAATTATACAGATGCATGCTGGGAATTTTTTCTAAGCAATTAAAATGGACAATCCCCGTTCGTACCGCCATGACTTTCTTTTTGTCTTGAAATCAGAATGATATAACTTCTCTCTATCCGTTTTTTTTTCTTTTCTTTTTTTCTTTTCAGTGTGAACACACATCTTACTGCCTTACTTCTGTTGCTTTGCCTAGTTTTGTCTTGCATATGCAGGGTGCGATGAATAAATTGTCGGCTAAATGACGCAAAAATGAAAATAACACTGACATCTCATTTTAACAGATATATTTATCAAAATTACACGAAAAATATCTTGAAATAGTAAAGAGTAAATTTATTCAATAAAATCACCATCGACTTCAACCACGGTCTCCGGATGACTTCGGGATCTCCTGCAACTCTTCTGGATGGTCTCCTAGTTTAAATTGGTTAACTACTTAGACAGTATATTACCCCCACTTACAATAGTGTCCAATATATTTATGAGGCTTGGGATATACACATTAGTATTCATAGGTACGGTATATAACAGTTCATTATCTATCTATCTATCTATCTATCTATCTATCTATCTATCTATCTATCAGTCCGTCTATCTGAATTTGCTGATCTATCTATCTATCTATCTATCTGAATCTGCTGATCTATCTATCTATCTATCTATCTATCTATCTATCTATCTTAGTCTGTTCATGTTGTAACCTAGAAAAGGTTACTGAATGACGAATAACCAAAACGGAGGTTGGAAATTAAATGGTAATCTTTATAACATCAACAATATACAATACTCGCCAGCGGTGTAAAGTAGGTAAACCACTGAACTGTGTTGGATCCATTTTGTTAGGAATATCTGCTAAGAACATTAGCTTCTGCAAATTTATAGACAAATTATACAGATGCATGCTGGGAATT